TAGAGAGAGAGAGAGAGACAGACAGACAGACAGACAGACAGACAGACAGACAGACAGACAGACAGACAGACAGACAGACAGACAGACAGACAGAAAGAGAGAGAGAGAGAGAAAAAGAAGAAATATACCTTCAGTCAGGACAAGAACACCAATGTCAAGCCATCAAATATTTATAATAAGTTATAACAGAGAGAAAGCAAAGAAGGATCAGACCACTTCAGAGCACCTACCAACCACCAACTTTGACATTATAACCTTACAATGATTATTTGCATTAGCAAACGGAATTACTTTTCACCAAAAAAAAAAACGGTTGGTATTATTATTTCTTAAAAAAACAGTCTGTCTGCTCTTTGAACTTCTTTTGTATTTATGAAAAGTGCGTATTTATAGTAAAGACATAGCTTTGTGGGGATTTTGTTAATGATACAAAATTTTACCAGTGCTTCCTTACTCGGTTGAGGGAAATTTTACTGACGGTAAATGTGTCATGCCATCACGACAAAAACAGAAAATTTAGGAGGCGGCTGCTTCAACAGTTTGTCAGACCTAACATGGGCAGAGAGGGTTTAGGCATCCGAGCAGAAACCTGGAGATACTTCACCATGAAGGTATGGGACCTCATGTCTTTCCTTTTTCAATAGTTCACCACAGAGGTATCAGACTCACATCTTTCCCAACAAAAAAAAACCTAGTTGTTTCAGCTTTGAGTTATACACTCTGCTAGACCAAAAAAAAGAAAGGCCTTACAGTAAGGTTACAGTATACCCCATAGAAGACAAGAAGTTGGTAAAGAAAGAAAAAAGAAACATATGAACAGTTTGAGTCTGAGCCTAACACCCCAATCAAAATAAATAGGTAAAACTCCCATAACTAACATAACAATTGGGGCTTTTTTTCTCAGGAATTTGGGGGTGTTTTATAGGTTGTGAGGGAAGGGGGGTTGTGGTATATTTGTCATGGGGAGGTTGGAGGAGGGAATGACCCACATAACATTGCATGAACAACAACAAGAGCAAGGACTGTCACCTGTCAGATGGCAGGGTTGGCTGCTCTACAAAATCAGAAAACGGGCTGTGCATGCCCGAGCGGGGCGGAGAGCGCTCCCGGGAGTGGCTCTCAAAGCCCCGGGGGCCCACAGAGGCAGGCTCAAAGCCACGGGAGGAAGGCAACAGCTCAAAGCCTTGGGAGGGTGCGGGTTCGAAGCCCCGCGGGCTAGGCTCGTAGCTGCGTGGAGGAGGGGGATCATACCCGCCACCGCGCTCCCTGGTCTCGAAGCTGCGCTGCTCAAACCTGTTGTTGTACTCGTCGTGGTTACGGTAAGTTCGGTCCATCACTGGCCCTCGGTCCTCGTCCGGGAAAGGGATGGGGCGCTGTTGTTGGCTCTATTGTTTGGAGAGAGAGAAGAGGACAGTTTTGTTTGGGGTTTCTATTGTAAGAGTTTAACGACACTTGCAACACAATAAGGTCATATAAGAGCCAAAGAACAGATGTGTTACAGGAGAGTAACATACACAAAAAAGAAGGAAGAGAGATGAGGTCGATAGATGTTTGATAGGAAAGAAGGAGCAAACCCCACCAGAGCACCTGCCAACCACCCATGAAGAGGACAGTGATTTACAGTTAGCTGTCATTTGGATAGAGAAAAGAGGATGGGATGCTGTTGTTAGTTCTGTCATTTGGAGAGAGAGAAGGGGACATTGATATAAGGGAGCTGTCGTTTGGAAAGAGAGAATATGGTAGTTGAAAGCCAGAAAATGGAAGCTGTCGAAACATTTTCATTTAGTGTTTTTACAATTGGATATAGAGAAGGGTAGTGTTTATAGCAATTGGACATTAGGACATAGAGAAGGGAAGTGGTCAAAGCATTTTGTCATTTGCATAGAGAGAAGTGTAATGATTGAAGCATTTCGTCGTTCAGACAAGAAGAAATAGATGGGACACTACAAACGTCCAGAACCAAGTAGAGACACGAGACCAAAAACAAAACAAAAACAAAAAAGAAAAGAAGAAGAAGAAAAGAAAAAGAAGACGGGACACTGCTGCTGACTTTGCACACTCACGTAAACGGAGCTGCGTCCCGTGTCTGGCATGGAGGGTCCTGAGATGAGGGCAGTACGTTGTGTCAGCTCCTCAATGACACTGGCGCCAGGATTCCAACCATCGTAGAACTCTGGGACATACCCGGGAATGTTGCCATTCCATTCCGCTCTGGAATGTCAGTCACAAAAAGAGAAAAATAAATGAATTGTTGGCTGGACTTTCAGATATAATGGTGCAAAACGTTGGGTATGAAATAGATGAATCAAGCATCAGTCCAAAACACACACTCTGAGCCTGACAGAGACAACAAATGTACAATATCATCTGTGTTTGTAGCACAAAGTTGTCTGAGCCTCATGCATCGGGCAGGCTTGTGGCGCGCAGCTTCCTATTTAGCAGCCGGTTACATACACATAAATAAATGTGAGGCATCCTGGTAAAATCAGGCGCTTGTCAAAATAATGCATTCCAAGTAACAGTCATTTTCCCGCTTGTTGAGCAATTTTTGTTGTGTGTTTTTTTTCTTATTAAGTCTAAATAACCTTTAATGTCTATTAAAAAACACATTTCTGTTTGGGTTTTTCTGAAAAACGTTGATTAGAGGAATACAAAAATTTTCATTTGCAGCTTCCAGTGACTCTCAAGCCTTGGAAGTCACCAAACTTTGGTGGCCATTTTCCCCCAATTTTACCTGAGCTGCATAGCTTCCCATACCTCCTTTAAAAGCAAATAACTTCGCTTCTATTCAAGATAGATGGATATTCTTTTCATCAAAAGTAAGACAAATGAACAAGCTATATAATATCAATAACTCCAACTGCTAAAAAAAATTGACCAGCGCCTGATTCCACCGTGTCGTAACACAAATATAAATCTCCTCTCCCTGTCCTCATTTTCACACATAAAACCACCCGTCCCCCTCACCTGCTGGTTGTCCAGTGTTTCCCCAGAGACTGCCACATCTCAATCTCCTTGCTGGTCAAGCAGTTCAGCAGCAGCTGCTTGGCGTCAGCGGTCAGCACCGGCGCCACGGCCTGGTCTCCCAGGTTCTGGTTGCCGTGGTACGGGTCACGGCTCGCCTCGTAGATCAGGCTCAGCGGGGTGAACAGGAAGTGGACCAGCTCGGGTGCGTTGGGGTCGTGGATGTGAGCCTTCAGTTTGGCCTGGAGCAGATGGGGTTTTAGTTTTAATAATTAAATACTTTTACTTGGGTAATGGGGAAAGATCAGGGAAATGTAGCTTTTTTAGGAGCATCCGTGATGAGTGAATGAATACTTTTACTGCATTTGCAACAGAAATAGGCCATATAAGTGCAGAATATTAGAGGCGTTACTAGAGACCTGTTTGTTTTGGAAATTGGAAAAAGTTTTGCAGCAGTTGCAACACAATTAGGTCAAAAAGTGCGAGAGATTACAGGTGTTACTAGGACCTGTGTGCTTTGGTTATAGTTTTGCGGCACTTGCAACACAATTAGGTCATACAAGTGTGGAAGATTAAAGTTGTTACTAGAGACCTGTTTGTTTTGGTCAGAGTTTTACTTCATTACTCCACAGTAACCAAGGAAAAAGGTATCAGTTGTCCAATACACATGTTAATGTTTGAGATGAAAAGTCTCAAATCTTTCACAGCATCTTAGGAATTAAATGCATCTTGACTCTCTGAACAGTTCATTCAGCACTGCGGTGAGAGGCGATGCAAAATAATACTTCTTTTTTTGCAGCTTCACTCCATGTTAAGTGAAGCTGTGATACCAAACAGCCAGTTTATGACAGTGGTTGGTCAGAAGAAGCAATTCAAAGTTCCTTGTCCTTCACTATCCCTCTGCACTTTCAGTCTGCCAGCCTCGCTTTCCCCAGCATTAAACAATCCATTATTGCATTGATATCCTTTCCTCTTTGACTCTGAATTGATTCATAATAAATATGTACTTTTCCCATTTTGGGAAGATGCAAAAAATACATGAGAACATTTTTTTTCAAAAGCCTGAAGAGAGCAACAGTTTGGGTCATGAGACATCATCAGGACAAAAATACCAGCCACACATCCACCCACCAGTAAATTGAAGGACAACTTGAACTTCTGGAAGATGTCCACAAAGTCATTGTCCGGAGGGGGCCGGGCACGGGCATTCAACATTCCGTCTGGGGAAAACAGCCAAAGTTTAAAGTCAGATACTAAGCATAAAAATTGGGAGCAATAATGGAATGACTTTATCAAAGTTGAAAGGATTGATTAGGAAGCCAAAGTGTCATTTCAAATCCTAATTCATTTGGGAATCAAAATTTCGAAAGGAGAGTAAACCGAGAAACCATCACACCACTACTACAACATAGGTTGTGATATGAACATATTAGGCAAGTATTGACCTGGACTTACTTCTATACTGATTCTTAGGAAAACGTTCCATTTTATCAACATACACAGTCTTGGAATTCTTACAACTGAAACTACCAGTGAAGATGATGATAAAATAACATTATTTGATTTTTAAAAATTCTTAGTTTTAGTTTGTTCATAAGTTGGTGTGGACACAAAACTCTGACACTTGAGCCAAAGAAAAAAATAGTAACAACGAGACATACAAAAAATAATACTAGCATTTTAAAAAACCCAAAGAGTTCAGATTTCGGTCTACATTACTAACGCAATTCTATGAAGCTCTCTGCATAGTAAATCCTGAAGACATGGTCATAGATAAACATTTCTAACACCTCTTTCAAAACTGCCAGGTCATAAGAGAGGCAGGACTGTAGATTTCAATGTCTATCTCTAATAGAACTAAGCACTAAGATTTTTTATTTTTTTTCAATATAAAGAGTTTTATGTCTTTGACCCTGGCGTCAGCATCGACCCTGAGTGGGACACATTGCAGAAGAACTAGGATTCTTGATTTTTAAAATTCCCCCAACACGGGAATCAAACTCAGGTCTCCTTCGAGCGACAGCAAAATCAGCTAATAACTACATCACAGACACCGGTGAACATTTAGAGGGTAAAGAGCTTTGAAAATTCCTCAAACAACCCAAATTTTATTGGACTGGATCCAGGGCTACAAAGCGCTGTAGTCCAGCAGGATACCAGGTGTGCTACTGTTGTGCTCCACAGTAGTGGGATGCAAGTATCTTCCCCACTATATTTTCTGAAGAATTTGCTATAAGGAAAAAGAGGGAGAAAAAGTACAGCACTAATATGACCACAGACGCCTATTCAGACAAGTACAGTAGACAGCCTGTAGGACATTAGAAAAGACAATACTGTCATTAAAGACCACACAGTAAAACCGTCTATATTTTAAAGTAGTGAAATAGATTCATAAAGTAAGTCATAATACAGTTGTTGAAAAAAAAAGATACCAAAAAGTGAAATCATAAAAATATGCAAATTATTTTTTTAAATAAAGTATCTGGAGCTTCAGACATGATGGTGCAAAATAGAAATAAAGGTTGGGTATTAAATAGATGAATCAAGCATCAGTTCAAAGCACACAATCTGAGCTTGATTGAGACAAAGAATGTTTCGGAGCATGCTATAATACTGCAAATAAATGGTACCAAACACAAACAAACAAAAACACAATAACAACAGTATAAACGGTTGGGTTTAGAATGTCCACCCTGAACAAGACAATTAATTGCCAATGAACTAGACACATGTACATCTTAATAAAAGACCTGACATTAATACAGTGGTAACAAAGCAATACAATGGATACAAGGCAAGGGACATAACACAACAGACACTACTTTGTTTTCGTTTTGGTTACTCTTTTATGGCCCTCGTAACTGAATGAGGTCATGAGTCATATGAGCCCGCAGGACACATTAAGCATCTTAATTCTGGTAGGAATCTATTTTGAAATTTTCCCAAGTGGCGGCTGAAGCCTACTCTTATCGACAGACACAACAATCACAGCTAGTAAAACATACAATAAAACAGATACAACAAACACAACACAACAGATACAATTGCACAAATACAATATATAAAGAACAACAGGTACAATATTTTATTAATTACAATACACAGACACTATACTACAGATAAAACAATTACAACACAACTGGTGCAAATTACATAACAAATGCATCAATTACAATATAACAGATACAGTAATTACAATACATAAACACTAAACAACAGAACAGATACAACGATATAATACATAAACACTAAACAACACAACAGATACAACAATTGGTCACTTTTAAGGACAAGCGGGCTAACCCAGATCTCGGGGGGTTTTAAAACCTTGACCTACACCAAAAGTGGGAATTGCCCTACCTATAGGAGAAAAGTTTAGTTTCATTGATGTGTATATTTGTTTGGTTATAGAGAAAACTCGAAGTATTTTAAAGAAACTTAAAAAGGGGCAAAAAAATTACCTTCGATTAAATATCTCAAAACAGAATTTTTCCGGATAGCCCGTAACAGCGACCAATTACAATACATAAACACTAAACAACACAATACAATACAACAGATTACAATACAGATACAACAATTACAACACAACAGATATAATAGAACAGATACCACACAATAGATATAACACAACACAATATAACAGACACAACAAAGACAGACGCAATATATCGATACACATTTCTGGAACCATCTGTGCTATGAAACATAACACTGAGGTTTCAAAAAAGAAAAAATGGCAAATGCGGTGCGTTAAGTATCAGAGGTGTTCTGTTTTCATTAGCGATGTTCTGACAAAATAATGATAATCTCAAATACACACATGCACACACATACACACACAGAAACCACCAAGAGCAAGCATTAAACCACAACGAATAAACAAGTGTAGGCTACAGTGAGGGTATCTGTTACTGTTGATAAACACGCAAGCAAAGTGTATTATTAATTTAGTAGATAAGGGGCCCACGCAATCAAAAATTAATAAACAAAACAACCTCCCCCCCAAAAAAACAAAAAAAAACAAATAAAAACCAAAAAGAAAAAAGAAAAACACACCAAAAAGTCAAGTTAGGGCTAAGAATGGAACAAAAAAGGGGGAAAATGGGAACCTTTTCCAGCCTGCAAGCTTTTAGCTATTTTCACGAGCATGGAAACTTAGTGGAATGCACCATTAACTTGTTTTGTTTATCTTTTCATTTCTTATTCCTGTACTCTTCACCTTGTTAAATTTTACCAAGACAATCTCAATTCTTACTTTAAAAAATGACAATATCAACAACAGCAACAACAACATCAACAGCAACAACAACAAAAACAAAAACAACAATAATAGTAATAATATTATTATTATTGTTTTTGTCTAATGAAAAAAAACTAATAATAAAAAAGATGGAGATAATCAAAAGCATTGATGACAGTAAAGTTATCAATATTATAACATTATAACTATCTTCATCATTATTCCACACACATGCACGCAC